TCTCCTAATGCGATTGCGCGCTAATTATGTTGTACACGGAATAGCTCCAGCCATTCTGCACTTTGTCCAGAAAAACTGCGAAAAAGGAAATTTCATCAACGTTTTCTTGTGGATGAATGATGCGATAGAGGTCTAATATAATGCAATCGACGAATCTTGATGTCATTCACTACTGATTAGATTATAAATTGAATCCCTCCAGTCGTTTTCCAATTTAAAAGAAAAGAATGGGAAACGAAATTTCTCAAACATTTTTTTGTGAACAGATGATGCGATCGAGGTGAAGCGTTTCAATGCAATTCGCCGCTGATTATGTTATACACTCACGAGCTACAGTCGTTCACCAGTTTGTCGAGAAATATTGTAGCAAAAAATTAATCAGCGATTTCTCGTGAACGACTTATGCGATCGAGGTCTAATATGATACAATCGAAGCGTCTTCATATCATTCAGCACTGATTGAATCATAGATTGAATCGCTCCAGTCGTTCTCCAGGTTTTCCAAAAACAAAATGGGAAACAAAATTTCGCAAACATTTTTTTGTGAACGGATGATGCAATCGAGGTATAACAAAAGACAATTGAAGCGTCTCGATGTGTTTCGGTGCTGATTCTGTTGTACACGAAATAGCTCCATTCATTCTCCAAAAAAGCGTTATGGATTTTGGGGGGTATAAAAATTATTATAAGACAGGAGAATCATTATAGAACAGGAAGTTATTGGTTCGACCCGTTGAACGGGTCACACCCGCATGAATGCATTCGCCAGCAAGCCACCCACAACTACGCACCCCACTTCGGGATCGAGCGAAGCGAGCGACCAACAACGCGACTACTAGTTTAATTAATAATTGAGAAGATATAGCGATAAATTTATTTTCAACACACCTGCACAGAAGTTTCGCACTTTGCTCTCTGATAAGTGAAGACTTTCCGTTCTTGGGAGCAACGTTTCACTCTAAGGCGCAAAGCATTCACTTTCCTCCCGCTCTTCAGATGGCAAAACACGAAAGTTCCTTTGCAGGCATGTCGAAACATAGCATGTACATCTCGATCGGGAAAACATGACTTTCCGCCCTTGATGCACAATATACTATTGGTGGCCTGTAAGGCACCACTGAATTGTTTTTAGAATTTAGAATATAGCTATTCATTGCAAATCAATTTTTGGATTATAATGTAAAAAAAAACAGAATAGCTCAAACAAAACCTGCTTCAAAGTATTTTTGTCATTATATATTTTTTTTTAAATAATATGTTTACGAAAACATAATAAAACACTTTTTCTGTCATCTTTTTTCAGAGGTGTAGAGAAATACTTAAGTTCTTATCTTTAATGAACAAAAAATAATCCTGATAAATAAAATGAGATGAAATACTGAAATAACTGATGAAGTTGAAAAATGAAATAATTGATATTCAATAATCATTGTTTGCTTTATGTTGAGTTTATTTTCCGTACTCTAGAACCTTGAGTTAAATCATATGAATCTATCTGATTATCTCAAATTCAAAAATAACATGACCTGAGGTTCATGGCAATATAACGAATTATCATTTTAATTCCCTGTTCATTGTCCAATAAAACAGATAAGTCAAAAAATCAATTAGAAGAATATATTGTAGTGTTATCATCCTAATTCAAACAGATATATTAGAAATATAGTGCAGGCCCGGTCATTCCATATTACACCGTTGAAATTTAGATTGGGTGGCACTGGAAATGGAAAAATGGAGGCGAGTAACATTGTTCCAGTACATTCCTTCAGATACATATCAGAATTGTTAATGTAGAATGTTTTTTGCATCTGCTTGATGCAACAGCACTAGATGCATCCTTATCTCTCTTCAAACATACTAATTAATTAGAAAATATATGTTTCAAAAATGAAGCATTGCGTAGATTTCAATTAAGTTAATCTCTTATTACGATTATTACATGATAACTAAGTGATTTCAGACATAAATAACTTCTACCAATCCCTACCGATAAAAATCACGGGATAATAAAACGCACGAATTCATTTACAGGTGTGTATGATGTCTGGAAATGTATCTGAAAATATGATTTCGAGCAATAGACTCCTACCTGGCATCAAGCAGGAAGTGGATAATCCAACAACTGCAAGCCAGAACTACCACCAGTCGTGCTCACCTAGTACAACAATTCAGCCAATTTCAGAGGTAAAATCTATGAGATGTAACGAGACAATTATCTTGAAACTGTTTTATTCATTAATTATTTTATCATTTACCGTCTTTCAGAGACTTGCATTGCCCCTTCCCAAAGCCCTGAAATTTACAATTATTATGAACAATTCTAATCCATATTTGAAGCCTTAAGATTTTAGACTCATATGACTCGCCAACCGTCACCTTCGGCTTGGATACCAATCCTATTCGAGTAAAAAATCGCAAGACATTTTTATGTCGGGACATATTCCGCTTTAGATTTTTATTGCTGTACATATGTTATGGTACACGCTATATCTCAAAATTCTTTGATTACTTCAAGGTTTGTTCCAGATTGGGTTAGGTCTCTGTATCCTTTTTAAATTATGTACTTAAACAATTCGAAGAATAAAGACCATTACTAGTAAATGGCAATTTACACAAAACTATTTTTTTGCTAGTCATCATTTCATAAACATAATTTTATAATGATAATATCGAACAATCGAGTATCGGTGAACGATGGTGGCCGATGGGATGGTGGTAAATCGGATGTTGGTAAACAGATTCTGGACAATACATCAGCCACGTCTATATGCTTGGAAATTACTACGTGAGATAGGCGTGTGTCTGAGGGGTTGTCGAGCGGGCTGTCTGGGTGTCTTAGTTTGGTCATCTTTTTCAGCTATGTTAATGATTTCTTGAGTATCGGGTCTTGAAAATAGGAGAAGTGGATGGGCGTAATCTAGAATTGGATTATGAAGGGCTTTATATATTTTGGTGATATGATGCATATTCACAACTTGATGCTTTATAGGTGAGACGTTGGAATTGTACCCCTCGTGCAATACATTTTTTCTTTACGAAATTAGCATCTGCTTTAAAGTTTAAGTTGCAGTCTATTTCGCCTCTGAGATCTCTGGTATATGCACACGGGGAGATGGGGGTATTTTGGAAATAAACTTGGGAGATAGATTTGCTGGGTTTTAACAGAAAATTGTATCTATTAGCATTTGGAGTTGTTCATATGGAATGGGTTTTCTACATTAAAAGGGGGCAACCTCAGTTCTAGGAGCTACTCCAGCTACTATCCTTTATTAGGCAAAATTGTCCCAAATCATAACGTTTACGGCTACACCCTCTTCGGGCCCGTAACGCCCTGCGCGTAATCAAGAGTAGTAGGGATATGTGGCGGAAACTTGGTAGTGGAAAAAGTAAAATAGTAAAATTTTTAATTTTGCTAATGGAAACATTTTCTTAGTTATTGCATTTTTTGTTATTTTTTTGATTCATTGTTGGTTGTTTTTGATGGACTTTACGAAAAAGGAGAGTTCGTACCTTTCATAGATTCATCGAAGAGAAAATATTGTTAGGAAAACAATCATTAAATATTATCATACTGTAAATAGACCTGTCTTAATATGCATTTTCAATATTTTTCGTTTCTATATTTCCCTCTATTAATGCCAAATTAAAATGCACAAACTTCTCACAATGAAAAACATTATCAGCGTTCTTTTCTGTTTGGAGATATTTAACGCATAATTATTGAGGTGATCAATACAATAACGTGTTTTTCACGTATTCAGACTTTTTCTGGATAAAAAATGAGGGTAATACAGTGTTTAAAAATCAACAGTTAAACGATGGAATTGAAAGTTGCATAATCGTGGATTTGAGACGATAAAAATTAAGCTGTCCAATTTTCGTTGCCCCTAACATTTTCGGTCATTTTTACAAATCACGTGAAATTGTTAAGAAAATTTCTTATTCAAGAAAGATTTCTCTTTCCAAAAGCAAAAAAAATTTGAAATTGTTTGGTCCAGCTTGAGTGACTTAAACAAATGACTGCAAATATTAGTGGCGATGAAAATTTGGACAATTATTGAGGAGGAAATTTTTCCACCTCAAGCTCACGAGCATCGCACTTCCATTACCACCGATGACTGTTGAATCTGAGCCATCATTTTTAATTCCATTTTTTTTAATCAAAAAGAAAATATCCAAACACGTGCATAAAAATTAAAACCATTTTCTTTTCGCATTAGATGTTACCCCCACCACACGAATATACGGCAACCTTTGTAATCATGTTAGGTCCCTTACAATTGGAATTTTAATGATTTTATGGCTACAGCTCTGAACCTACTTGAGGTTGCCCTCTGATCTATATCAGGCTTGGGCAACCTCTGCTTTGACAGCAGGTCGTGCTCCCAACCTCTATTAGTAAATAACAAAGAGTAAAGAAGAGCTCATTGCATCTGAGGATGGGCCTTTATGAGGCAGGTCCTTAAAAGCCTTCTCCTCCGCTGAGATCCACCCAAGTGGGGATAATGCTTAAGAAAAGGAAAAGTGGAGAAATTTCGCTGAAGAAAGAAAAAGCGAGGAAAATAGTCAAAAATCGAAAATTCGAAATTTTCGATTCCATCACGATTTTATTTATTTTGGAAGCTGACATGACAAATAAAATATAAAAAAGTCTGTTCAATTTCAGAGGCGAGGAAGAAATCCCACTGTGTCATGTTCCAGTGGTCCCGCAATTATTCATTCAAGAAATGAAAATGATAGAGGTACAAATGTTAATTGAATAAAATTAACGAAAAAAATTATTAAACAAGAAAATAATTTTTTATATGAACAAATAACATCAGCTGGTAAAAAATGCAGACGCTGGTATTTTTTCTTCCATATATTTTTCGGAAAGGACAAATAATTTGAAAAGCAAGTTAAAAAATATCAATAATTCAGGATGTTGAATTTTTAGAATGTGTTTTTTCCACGGATAATAGTTATTTCACATTTAGTTTAATAACTCAGGAAAATTCCCAACTGTTCCATGAATGTTCTAATTTCAAAGAAGAATAAAAAATGAAACTTTTTGTTCTGTAATACTGGTTAAATTTAAAATAAAGAAATGCGTCATATTTCAACTTATTAGATTTTTCAGACTATTGAGTGTGCCATAGCGCGATTTTATACTTTCAATCTTGATTTATCGCTGCACTGAACTTGAACAATGGGGACGTATTATGGACCAGTTTGAAGATCTTGTTGAGATTTTCAGAATTTCGTCTAAAATTTTTCATGAAATAAAGTTGATGGAATGTTAAACTTCTCCATATAGTGAAACTTGCGTGCCATGTTCTGAAATTTTTTTCTTTCTTCATGTAAATAAGCGAGTAGACTTTTGTTCTTTTCTCTATGGGTATATATCTCATATACATTTTAGTTGCTCGAGTTAGATGATTTTTCATGAAATTATGGGAGTTTGAAAAAAATTGTGGTTTTAGACATTTGACTTGAATTTCAACTTGGCGTGGAATTTTAGATATTTTGAAGTGTTGCAAACTATATGTATATCATTTTGAACATAATTTTGGACTTTTCAAAATGGTACATGTTTCATTCGATTCAGTTCCATTTTGATGGAGTTATTCAAGTTTTTTTATATCTCTGATGTTATGTCACACCCTTAAATTTCCAGTTTTGAATTTTCATCGTTACTTTGGACTATATTGATGCAATTTTCAAAATGATGTTTGAAACTGTTGTTATGACTTTAGTGTCATTTTTTGAAAATTAGAATTTTTGAAATGTGAATGTGGGAGTTCACCCTTTTTTTTTACAAGTCAGTGTATACATGATATTCATTCGGGAGCTTATTAGACAAACTTAAAAATAAGGTTTGAAGCGTTTTATTTCGATCATTTCTCATGAAGTTATGGGAGTTCCAATAAAAAATAGAGGATTTTCATGTTTTACTTTAATTTTAACTTGGGCTAAAATTTTTGATAATTTCAATTAAAGTAAATGGGAATATATATATATTATTTTGAACTATTTTCTACTTTTCAGAATGGTATGTGCTTGATCATATTCGGTTACTATTTTCATGCCGTTATTGGAATTTCTACCATCCCAAAATTATGTCACATGTCCTAAAAATTAATATTGTTTACCAATTATTCTGCCTGTTGATTTACCGAGCGGAGATATGTTATATATCACTTTCAAAGTTTCAAAATATTTTACATGAACGTTCATTGATTCATGAATATTTTCTAACATAAATATATTTTTTCCCGTTTTCACTGGACGATCAATTTCGTTTTAATTTTGCGGTACTGCCAAGGCAAGAACCATAATATTTATACACCATTTTGAGGGTCTTTTGCAGGTCTCCGAAGTGATATGTTAACTCTGATTTCAATGATGTTTTTGTTTTCAATTTTTACCATTAATGAGACCATAATTTAGATATTTTACACTAAACTGTTGCGGCTTCGAACTCAATTCGTAAGGATATATCATATATTAATTTGAAGGCCTCAATGAGATATATCAAATGACGTTTCAGTTATTCGATTTCGATAATTTCGCTTTGAGTCATGACAGTTTTTACAAAAAATAAAATTGAAACTTATGAAAAAGCCCAACTACAGTTTTCCATTCTGTTCTGCCTGAATGTCGTGATGTATAGTATGATTTATGATAGAGTACTAAAGGACTGATTGAGAAGGAACTTCCGTTGAACATTGAATGTGAATTTGGATAGTAAATCCTGAGAGTGAACGGATGTCGATAAAATCGGTCGAAATAGTATTCAAATTGACGGGTAGAACATAGTAATGAAAATTAAGAGTGAGGGATACGGGTCAAGCTTAATTGTATAACACCACTATCGTCTTTACTCGTCTCTTCCTGAAAGGAAAAAAAAATTGTCTGCTTAAAGGGCTAAGGGTCAAGGATAACAGCCCAGCCCGAGACAGTCCAAAAAGGGCTAACTAAGGGAGTAAACGGCTCGAACGGTCAAACCTAATAGTAGAACGTTAGTCGGCCTCAGTGAATTTATTCTTAACTGCTAAGGCTTTCCCAGCCCTGTTCTCATCTTCAGCCTTTGGAATTCTTAGCAGAGTTATATTCATTTTCTGAACAAAGACCATAAAGTTATCTCGCCACCTCAGAATTTTGAACAATTGTTCTATTTTATTTATTGAATTGCTACAAATATGGGCTGAAGACGAAATAATTATTAAGGGTCGTTCCTCATTCTGAAAGCATTAAAAAAAATCTTTATTGATGGAAAGTTTAAAGTTTCCGCTCGATTGCACGGTTGCCCCCTGCCGATATCGGTCAATTCATGGCTCAAGGAGGGAGGAAAATCGAATTAGAGCAAGAAGTTTCGTTCAGTGGCGCCTCTCCGAGCTCTCACTAATGAAGCTCAGGAACCGCGTGACCCGATGGGCTCGGTAAATGTATAGAACAGGTCTACCGCTCCGATCTTTTCGGCATGTATCCAGATTTGAGGCTTTTTCTTCCCGTTTCCGAATGTCCAAGAACTAGTCTCCGGAAACAATTAGATCAGAAGTTACGCGCATTTTTATACCGCTCTTTGTATTACCCAGGGCCACGGCGGGGACGTGGCGGTGTTCGGCCCCAAAGACAACACATGTTGACACATTCATAGACAAGGGGATACCACATGTTGACTCATTCATTGACAAGGGGACAACACAAAGTGGCTCTTTAGTCGCTATCTGTCTGTTGTTTATTTTCCACTTCACTACATTCGGGACACTTTATCTCACTTGTCGGCCCTTTTTTGTTCCTCACGGGAGTACCATAGTGTCGTTCCCATACCAATGGTATCCCCGAGTCGCACGTTCACAACAAGTCCCGACTTCGTACTGGCATTCTTTGATACCACTCTCCCTCTTGCCTTTTATCACGCTCATTGACGAAGGCAGTTCCCCACCAGCGCAGTCTCATCGCTGCTAGAGCTAGACAGTCACATAGGATGCGTAGACTGTCCTCATTTGCTTCATTACAGAATTTGCACCACCCATCCGAGTCCATGCCGATGACTCTGCAATGTTCTTCAAATCTGCCATGACCTGTGAGCAGCCTGATCGTAGTGGCCAAACTTTCCCTGTCCATGGCCAGACTTTTCCTGTCCATGGCCAGTAGGTGTTTCGACCTTTTCTTGCTGGGGCCAGGCATGGTTGCCCTGACCTTTCTGCTGGTCTTTGTGTCTTTCCACCGCTCCGATTGTTCACGTCAGAGCTTTTCCTTTATGTGGCTTACACCCACGGCATGGGGGATACCAGAAGCTCTGAGCACTTTTTCATTGCCAGAACTTTCGCTTGGAATACGGTAGCCATAATCCCTAAGGACCAGTTGCACTTGTAGTTTTCCTTTGGCCCGTACAGTCTTGCTCCAAAGCAGCCTCTGTATCCTGAACCATCTGCATAGTGCATAGTGCATGACATTGGTGCCTGTTGTCTTTACAGTTTCCCAGTTCTCCCTCTCAGGGATGTAGCTTTTAAAGGCCTTCCTGATTTGGTACTTCCTGCTCATTCTATCTTGACTCATGTTCCAATGATTTTTCTTGATAATGTCAAGCTTGGCCTGTGCCGCTCCCGCTTGCATCCATTCCCACTGGCACAGGAGTCTATAAGCTGTACTATAACTTACTTGGCGCGGTTTTTCCCAAGAACTAAAGTTAGAGCTACAGATTATCTTCAGTCACTTTTAATTATTAATCAAATTTCATTTTAGCATTATACTGTAAATAAAACCGCGCCAAGTTGGTCCTGCCTCTACTGACTTTTTTATTTTCATTATTGAATCCTTTCAATCGAGTCGTATCACTTTTCTTGGCGTTTTCATTTACATTTTCCGAGTTTTTTTTAATTTCTAGGAGCGCCATAGTTTGGCAAAACACAACTTTTACTTGGCCCAGTTTTTTTTTACAAAAAAACCAGTTTTTGTAATTTGGGGAGATTTGACAGATTTTTTCAATATAAGTAACGAATTATTTTCACGTTTTCCAAATTTTTGTCACCCACATCACGTTTTCGGTTCATTTGAAGTATATTATTTGCATGATTTTTTTTACATAATACACAATGTGTTTCAACAATTTGACCAACACCTCTCTACATTTATGCATGATCTGGACCGAATCAATTTTTTTTTTAATGTCCAAATCTCGAAATTCATACTTCCATCAACCTCCAAAATTGACTTCACTCACATCTGTAATTACACACATAAATAGGTCAAGAACTGCATATAATTTTCCAACAAAACGTAAACCTAATATTGGTTACGATAAAATAAGCAATTATAATTATGGAACTAAATAAAAAACATGAAATCCTAGAGAAGAAATCAAACACTCTCCTCTGTTTCCTTGTTACAATTCAACGGTTTGAATACACTGATGACAACATCTAAACGCCAAATTTGGCCTAGGTTAGGTTGGATCGAACTGCTGCCAACTTAGTGACTTCAATGTAACCGAAAGATAATAGAAATCGCGAAAATATTGAAATGAGCCCGTTGCCATGGGCGTATTTTTGCCAATATTAATCGAAAAGAGGGAAAACTTGTATCAATGAAAAGTTTGATGGCGATTTATATAATATCTGTAACTGTGCACAAATTTCATGTAACTTCTGGCGTTTGAATTTTATGGGTTGAATACGATTAGGAGGTAGTGGAAGGGGTAGTGGTGTCGTGTATAGATACACCGTAGCTCTCGACCTTATTTGTTGGATAGAGACGAAACTTATACTTGGCCGATACGCTACCGCGTAGCTCAATAAATGATAGCGTTACTTCCACTGTCTCTCAACTTGATCAAGAAGAAATTATAATAATTATTACAAATAGTACAAATAATGTGCTGTGAATCAATAAAACAATAAGTGTAGCTTATCATATTCTAATTGAATCAAGAGAGTATTCAAAGTTGTTTGAATCATCCGTGAAATTTTGTTAAAAAAAAATAAAAAAAAAATTTTGTTAAGGCCTGCATGAATTATCTATCGAACGTGAGTTTAGTTTGCAGTTAATGTTGTTAGGCTAACATCTGTAAAAATCTAGGATAGAAATTGTGTTGTGGAAACCACTTCGATGCTTAAAAAAAATAATTTAAAAAAAGGGGGAAAATGGGTGCGGGGCAGTAAAGTGTCATATTGACTTAAGGTGATGTATCAAGTTTGCAGAAAAATAATTTAAAAATACGCAGTTTATCAGCTACCATGATGGCCGGCATGAATACATTGGCCAGTCCATTTTGATTCTCCATTGTTATTGACTGTCGAATGCATTCTTCTCTGCTATCATGGTAGTTGCTAAATTGTGTTTTATTTTTGTATAGATTTGCTAGCTCTATTTGAATCAATATTGCTCTTTGCCCCCTGCCACAACTATTCCTCTTTTTTGTTTCCGGGTGAAAGCTTTGTTTTCATAATCTTTTGGCAACCATTGGAGTGGTTTCTACACCACAATTGGAATCCCAGATTTTTATATATTTAGGCTAATAAGATGAAATTCGAACGGAAAATCACGTTCGACTGATAGTCCATGTGCGCCTTGAACATTAAAATTCAATTGATATCACTTAAAAAGACTCATTAAGGTAGTTAGCTTTATTAGCTTCGTAGTTAGCATGAGAAAATTTCCATCAAATTCAATATATCCCCTGCATTTTATTTATGCCCCTCAAACTGTGATGCAACATTATTCAAAAAATTAATGAAAGTGTGGCGCAAAAATTTGATAAAATGAAGCAATGCATTATTGTTTACCAATTCACACCCAAAATGAAGTTTTTAGATTAAATCAAATGTATGGTAGCTCCGGAAATCCTAAAAGCATTGCGGACTACGTTTTTGAATAGAATATACTTGTGGCCAAGATTCAGAGCTATCTAAAATGTATGCACGTAACATTGAATGGAATCTGTCAATATTTTCATCGGTTCTTAAAAAGAAAAAATTACATTTCAGGTGACAATTAAAATGGACATGGGCGACTACAGTGGAGGGAGAGCGAGTCCTGGGAGTCCTGAAATGCAACACTGCTCTTCTACTACGCAACCGTTAGGAACGTCAGAGGTAATTCGAAAGTGTCAATGAGTCGAACGAGGGACGTGAAAGTCTTAACCTATCTTCACACACAGATTTGTATAATCTGTTATTTTCTAAAACTATTCATTTCCCTGCAAGATTATTAAGATATTATTAATAAGATTGCTAAGGTACTGTTGGATTCGGGCGAATTAGAGGTTATTTATGATGATAAATAAAATAGAATTCGGCCTAGTAGCCACAAAATATTTTTATTTAGTGGATGCTTAAAGTTTAAAGTGTTAGGCACATTTCCACTTGCCATCTTCGTCTTTGAAATTGTTATGATAAATGGACCAATCGTTAAGAATTTGAATGAATGGAGGATCAGTGTTTCATCTTCAACAAATTGTATTTTCATTAATGTTTCAATTATTGATTTATAATCAATCACTGTGAGGGAAAAGAAAATATCCAAACTTAACAGTGATTTTGGAGAGCGAAGGAAGAGGGAGGATGCGAATAAGGAGCCATGAAAAGAATATTATGCGTTTTTCCATTCGCCTAATCCGGTAATTCCCGAGAAAATCGCAACCGAGCCGTTTGTATAGAGCTGCTGATCATCTAGTCATCTGCGGAAGGTCTTGTTCAAATCGCACCCGCGGGCCAAGAACAGTCTAATGTCGAAGTCGAAGAGGCAACCCATGTCCAGCAGAACCTTGTTTACAATCTAATCCTTTGCAAGCCGCTACAGCAAAAAAAATGGTTTCAATTTCTCGTAACTAGTATTTATGGATTCAGCAATGTTAAATTTTGTCTCTTTATAGTCATATCCTATTTTGTGCCACCATCGTTAAATCATACAATGAGTTTGAAAATTTCTGGTCCACCAATCAAAGAAATTACAAATAATCGTTGTCTTACTCCCTTTTCCGTCTTCCAACGCTCTCCTGAAATCCAAAAGAGAAGAAAGTTAATTTGTTTTTTGGAAGTGAAGAAAAGTGGCTGTAGCAACAGTATCACTCTTTTGTGTATGCAAGCACCGTTGAATAAATAACATTTTTGAATCTGTGCAACCACCTTAGTTTACGCAAGTTTCAATTATCAATTCATTTTCATCCAAGGTAGTTTTTATCAAAGGAATATTTTCAAATGACAGCCGACGCAACCCAA